TGAGCAGGAGTCAAGAGGTGAAGCGCAGGAGTGAGTTCCTCTCACAGCACAAGTAAGAGTTGACATTTTCATTCTTCTTCTCAAGCTCTAATGTTGCCGGTTCCCGCGTTTAATCAAAGGTGACTTTAAAACGTTAAGACATTAGGCTAGGCTACTCTCTTTCGGGAAATAGACTATAGCCTTTTTATTATTCGAGTGCCGATTCAGTGTTACAGCCGGTAAGTCTGTAAATTGTGTGTGTGTGTGTGTGTGCGCGCGCCCTCAGCTGATCTCTGTAAAGTTTGATTAGTAATTGTACGACAGTTGACATACAGGTGGTAACTGTCTTGAAATAATCTCAAAATGTTACCGCACATGGTAGTTATGTGAGAAACTTTTAACATTGCACTACCCGGTATATTCAATACGAATTGAAACGGACCAATCCTTGAAAAAAAATGGCCATGGGATCCGAAAAAATATCACTATAGTTCCTAGGAACATACGCTAATTAAAAAAAAATAATAAGAAAACACTGATTATTAACATTTGATTCATTTAACAAAATTGATTAATTATATAATTAATTATTAAATCGCAAATAACAAAAATGTAATTCAATACAATAATTTTTATCATGACAACTCTCGGAAGATTTTAGGTAGGCTAATGAATATGACAAAGTTAATGTATTTGGGTCTTGGTGGATTAGATGTGCTATGCTGCTGCTCTTGTTGATTATTGCTGCTGCTGCAGAGCTATGGAATGCCAAAGCTGACATAATAACAAATAAATAAATATACGAAGAAATGTAAAAAAAAAAAAAACATAAATAAATGCATATACAAAGAAATGTAAAAAACAAAGGAGTATTTTTATTTCCTTATATATGTACAATATTATAATTGTATGTATAATTAATAATATTTTTTATAATAATTATTTATTTTTTCATTTATTTATGCATTTTATTTCCACTTATTTATTTTACACATTTATTTATGTATATATGTATTTGTCTACATTTTATTTATTTCTACATTTCTTCCTCTGTATGCTAATGAGGGGGGCGTGTTTTACCTCTACGAACGCCGATCCAAGTGCGCTGGTGAGAATGTGAACGAGCTATAAGTTGTGATAAGGTGAGCGCGAACATTAGGCTTGGATCGGCGTTCGTAGATCGACTGGTAGAGACTGTTTTTCAAAGATGGCTTCTGCCTGTATACGCGAAGTTGACTGTATGTATAAAATATCTTCTTATTAAACTGTCTGGACACTGACAAAGTTCTCAATGCTTCGGTTTGAAGGTAGGGACCCTCATTATGCTACCGTGTTAGTGTGGGGCTATTTTGAGCCTTGTTAGTGGAATTAACAAGCGATTTTTATTTGTCATTACTCCATGCCCTATATACTAGCGTTATACTAGCTTTATAGGCTAAACTGTTTTTAGAGATAAAACTCTTTACATTCGATAATCATGAAAACAAATCTCAGATAACGGTTGACTAGGTAACAATGTGTAATTAGACCAAAGGTTCATTTTGCGCCGGAGTTCTCCTTTAACTGTATGTATATAGGGTTACCATCTTTATTACGGACATGGAACAAACTGTTTCAAATCCAAACATGGAACAAACTGTTTCAAAATATTGATCAATGTGTTTGAAATGCGACTAGTTTACATTCGCGTTTCCTAATTTTGCATGCATACCGTGACGATTCAAATGCTTGTAAATAACGCATATTTCATAGATGCTGCTCATAGATACTGATTAATCACAAGTAGGGCTGCACAATTAATAGCAATTTACATGTAATCGCACTTAAACCGATTTGGCTTATCGCGATTTTGAAATCGCAACGGCTGTGGTTATTTTTAATGCGCAGCTTTTCATTGATGTACGGCTCTGTAAACGCTGCTCCATCAGAAAGCACTGAGTTTGAGTCACTTATAACGACTGCATTTGTAAAAGCACCACGCGTCAAACATCTTTCCAAACATGAGAAGCATTTATGAACCTCTTGTCCAACAAAACACAACATGCTTTTACTCCAAACTCACTTCATAACGACAGTTTGAGCATCCTTCTGGGAGATGATGTGGCTTCTTACACGGAATAAGGCAGTCGTGTGTTTATTAGTCATGTTTAATCAATCAAAGCGTTTCAATAGGGATTAGGGATTTCCTGGAATGATGTGTGTTATCGTACTTCTGTGGCAGGGCATATTTAGCGTGTGTGTGAGACGCCCTATGGCGTTCAGATGGACTTACTTGATGTAATTGATACAATCTTTATTTGAAGTGACAAGTTACTTAACATAAAAGGGCCAGTACAACTTGAAATATATTATTATTAAAAAAAATTTATTTTCATTAACTTTGGTTGCACAACAAAGGAATTGGTTGCTTTTTCTACAGAAACCTGATCTATATTGCTGATGTCCAATTTTTTTATCAATCATTTATTGGTAAAGGGTGCTAGACCTTGTTGAGAGATTGATTTTTGATAAATTATCCACATGATTTTTGTCAAAGAGCCAGTTGTGGCTCGCAAGCCATAGGTTCCCGACAGCTAGACTGAGCGCTGAAACGTGGCTCTTAAAGGGATACTCCACTTTTTTTTGGAAATAGGCTCATTTTACAACTCCCCCAGAGTTAAACTGTTGAGTTTTACCGTTTTTGAATCCATTCAGCCGATCTCCGGTTCTGGCGGTACCACTTTTAGCATAGCTTAGCATACATCATTGAAGTGGACAAGACCATTAGCATTTCTCATTAAAAAATGACCAAAGTGTTTCGATATTTTTCCTATTTAAAACTTGACTCTTCTGTAGTTACATCGTGCACTAAGACCGACGGAAAATGTAAAGTTGCGATTTTCTAGGCTGATATGGCTAGGAACTATACTCTCATTCCTGTGTAATAATCAAGAAACTTTACTGCCGTACCATGAGTGCAGCAGGCGTAATGATATGACGCAGCGCCTGAAAATAGTCCCCAGCTCGGTAACTTCCAACGTGACCGGGACTAAGTGCCTGCGCCTGCTGCTCTCATGGTACGGCAGTAAAGTTTCTTGATTATTACGCAGGAATGAGAGTATAGTTCCTAGCCATATCAGCCTAGAAAATCGCAACTTTACATTTTCCGTCGGTCTTAGTCCACGATGTAACTACAGAAGAGTCAAGTTTTAAATAGGAAAAATATCGAAACACTTTGGTCATTTTTTAATGAGAAATGCTAATGGCCTTGTCCACTTCAATGATGTATGCTAAGCTATGCTAAAAGTGGTACCGCCAGAACCGGAGATCGGCTGGATGGATGGATTAAAAAACGGTAAAACTCAACAGTTTAACTCTGGGGGAGTTGTAAAATGAGCCTATTTCCAAAAAAAGTGGAGTATCCCTTTAAAGATCAAATAGCAACTTGTTTTGTTCCTGAATCAATCAGTGTTTTGGACAGATCAGTTCAATAAATGATTCAATGACTCACTCAGGACATATTTCGTTCTTGATGAATCATTGTCGGCTCTCTCATAAAGACAGTGGCTGAATCCGAAATCACCATGTTTACATGGCGCCGCTTTTTTATAATTGCCAGGTGCCGGTGTTTTGTATGCATTTGGCCAATCAACATACACTTAAGGCACTGCTAGTTCCTATAGTGCTGGTTTAGACCCTACTCTGAAGTATGAGCTTATTTAGTTCCCCCAAAAGGAGTTCCTAGAACTAAAATCGTTCCTAGTTATGCGGTGCGAACACGCCAAAAAGCGATACTTCCACCAATAATTCTAGAAAAGGTTCCTATATAGAACGTACTTTTTTAGCGGTCGTGGAGTAATGGGCTCTATGCACGGCGGTATTTCCGGTGAAGGTCTAAGGATGCTGGATTACTTCCGCCGATCGTAGAGTCCAATGCTATACCGAGAATTTATATTGGTTTTTATACTCTATTGCTATACTAAAGAAACGTTAGTCACAAAAACAGACAAAACAGACACCCCTCATTTTGTTTATGCTTCTGTGTTTATTAAATTAAATAAACATAACTATATATAAAATTACATCAAAACGTATTAAAGTTTCGTTTCAAAGATGAGAGGACAGTAAATTTTGAAGACTCTGCCATAATCCCGTTTTCCTTGGTTTTCCTCCGCTGTAAATCTCCACAACCGGAAACGCACGAGCATCCTTGCGTCAAACGCGGAAGTTATGCGTGCATATAGCCCATTACTTATTCAAAATAAGTAGAGTATGCGATTTCGAACACAGCCACCCAGTTGTTGCCACCTACTGGTGTGTCGATGTAACAACGGCGTGGTACAAATGTTAGTCTATAGTAGCTGGTCAGCACTCTTGAAACGTCTCTCGTCCAATCAGATTTACTCTACGACAGCCATTTTGAAATCATGTTTTTAAAAAACTGTAGGTAATCAACAATAATGGTTTGTATTTTGTAACATTACACCCTGAATGATGGCTAGTCCAAGGTACAAGCGACTGGTGCCATTGATAGATCCCAGGTTTTAGCCCTTAGCCTATATAAAACGGCTATATCATTCTAATTAGAATGTTTTGAACAAAACATTTATTTTATATTATTTTTGTAGTTTTACATTTTTGCAATTTCATGTATTTTTCTGCGTACAAAAGTTTTACCCTTAAAAACTGTCAAACACTCACATTTATTATAGCCGATATGCGTCCAGGTAAAACATAAAAAAGCTGTAGAGTGAGTTCAACACATAATTTACCAGAGCAGAATGAGCTAAGCCCGCATTCAACTGGTGTTGCTTCAGGAAATGCCCAAAAGCGCATCTGATAAGAGGAACGCGTGTGTGTGTAGTGATGTAGATGTGTGTGTGTGGTTGCTGCGTGAGATAAAACGCATTCGTACGGATCCAGTGCTCTGCTTGACACTTCATGTAAATACTCTAGAAACGATCGCGAAGGGAAGCCTCTCTCTCTCTCTCTCACACACACACACACACACACACACAAGCACAAGCGGGCGCCGCGTATACACGACACACAACTTCCACTATATTCACCTGGAAACTAGATACAACGCACATTTGCACCAATGAAGGGTGAAGATGATGCAAACACTGCGATGAAAGATGAGGAGGCTGATGGCTCGGGTGAGTTTCTCATGTTTTGTGTTCAGATTCCTGATCCGTGCGCGTTTATTATTATAATAAAGGATATTAAAGATAGGCAGATAATAAACCGCCGTAACTAACCAGAATCCAATCGTCAGACAACATTAATTTCTAACGCATGTTTATAATGTCCAGATTGCTTTGCAAGACAGTTTATATCCAGGTATGTTATAAAAAATGCATGTGAGCAATAAACTGTTGACTGATGTTATTAATTTTAAAATAATACTAATATTAAGTCAGATAAGCAGGCTTGTGTTATTACATGAGCATCAGTGTTCTGTGGGTTTAGTCACGCATTGCCTGCAGGCAGCGCGCGGGCACACACACACACACACACACACAGAGTGCATGAGGAAAATCCATCTCAGCATCATCTTCACCTGAGGAGAGAGAGAGAGATGCTGTCCTGAGGGGGCGGTGCATGTCAACCTGAGCTGGCAGAGGGGATTTTCCCATTTGGGGAAAAGGAAGGCATATCTTTTCAAAGAGAACTTTAAGGGAGAATATTAGTACGTTGCCTATATTGTAGCATGTAGGCATAAAACCTGTATACTATTTTCCATATTTCTCTGAAAACGAGTTCAGCAACAGAGAATCAAAGTGTGAATAGATTCATGATTAATTGGCCTTGAAATTTCACGAGACAATCAAATGAATCACTCATTTAACGGGTGTCATTCTGAAAAATGTTAATTTTTCTGACATCATAAAAGTGGATGTAATCAAGCTTTATTTATACACTGGCAAATGAGTATGGTCCTTTTAAACATAAAGAATATGAAACGTGATGATGATGGGTTGGGGTTATTCGTTTTCAGGTTAAGGTAGGACAATTTTTAAAACAGTTCGGATGAATTGTGATGATTAATAAGTATATTATTATGAGCAAGCAAACACAACGCACATATCATACATCAGTTACAGGCTACAGTAGCTCAAATATAGTATTGTTACACTTTTAAAAGAATCATTTTTTCTTACAGAATAAAACTGGTTATATGGTTGCCAGAATAATTCTGTAAAATTAATTTCTGATGAATTAGCGAGGCCACGTTGCTGCTAAATCGCTTTTGTACTTTTAATACTGACACCCACCATAATAACCCTGATGATAAAGAGGAAACCACACGATGAATCAAAGTTCATCACAAGTAGCCTTTCCACAAGCTGAGGTAAATATCGATATATAGAAGGTCATGCACACTGACACAAATACAAAACACCTTTGAAAAAACATGACACTAAAATAATGCAATAAACATTCATTTAACAACATAAGATGTAACATCAAACCCTAATGTACATAACTGATAACAAAAAAACTTCGAAACAATTATTAAAATAAAAAAACATCAATTGTGAAGTGGCATACAGAGAATTCTAGGCATGTCAGTTTACGGCTTTTCAGTTTAAATTATAAGATGATTTCTTAATTTACTTCCAAAAATGATACAATTAACAGTATTTTACTGTAAAATTGCATGAAATGTAAGGTTAGACCTATAATAAAAGAATTTTTTTTACCCCATATATGCCCTATGCGCCGGAGAAACAAGCGCCCTGTCATCTTTACAATGTTGTGCCTGAATTTCCATTTTTGCAGTAGCTCTGTTTATTTCTATGGCATCGCTGTCGAAGAGTAATTCGCTGGTGAAGTAGATTTACTTATTGTAGAGTTAAGGAAAGTTATCATGAGCATTGTAATGTTTGAAGCAGATGTCATGAATGTCAGTAGACCGGGAAGATTTTAAAACGAGCGGTTCATTCATAAATCCGTAATATCTTACCTTCACGCTGTGGAATAACAAACTGGAAGACTGAAAAGGGGCGGGGCTACATGAGGTCTATAGGACGTACTGTTAGCTAATTAAAAGGTCGAATTTTTACAGTTAAAATGACAATATATGTGAATGAGCCTTTGTGTTCACCTTCTAATGGCAGCTGCTTTTACATGGTTTCTAGCTGGAACATGCTGGTTAGTTTTGGTTAGCTTGTCTGCATTGATCTAGTTGATGGATCAGATACCAGCTCATGGGGCTGAGATTGTTCTGTTAGACTTTTACCAAACTAGTTAAAGCTGGTAAACCACCTTTGACCAATAACAAACTAGCTATCATGTTCAACTTGACCAACTTGACCACATTACACTAATATGACATGGATTTCCCAGTTGGAACATAAATCTAATTCAACAATCACTTTAAAAAAAAAAAAAAAAATTGCTCTAAAGATTTGCAGTAAATATTATATAATAATATGAAAATTATTTATTTTCACATTTAATATGCTATTTTATTATTAGGAGTAGTTGTATTAATACCCCTAGATAAGCCGCTATATTTAAAAAAATCTAGTTTCCATATGTCTGTCAAAAATATTTTTCTTGTGTTATTTATTGTGATCACATTCAAATTTAATTTGAATACAAAAGAAAAAAAGGCAAGCTGACATTATTGCAGACAATCCCCTTGGAGCAATCTGCGGTTACACACACATGCATGCACACACACACACACACACACACACACACACACACACACACACACACACACACACACACACACACACACACACACACACACGCATGCTCTTGTATCCCACAATGACCTACATATGCATTCTAGGGAGGAAAATTTAGCCATGCTTTCTATAGGATAATACTTTTAGATTTTATGTTTCACCATAGAATAACACGGTTGTTTACCACTCTATTTTTTTAAGAACATGATATGATCTATTAGGTTTTAGTCAAGGTGTTAAGATGGAATATTTGATGTGTACATTTATCTTAAATGAAATGTATTTGCTCTGTAATTGGGTTGGGAGCCTTTCTTGTTATCTGCAGTGATTTACATTCATTTAGAAAAATATGTTGACCCCTGCTGCCCTCTCTTTTATTTGTGATCTATAAAAAGCGATGTCATGATGGTATTAATATGGTACGTTCCAAAACTCAGAGACATTTAAAAAAATTGTAGAACAAAGAAACATTATTATGTGAAAAGAATAAGACATATTTAAGATTCTGCACAAATTATTGGTCATGTGACCACTTTAAAAAAACAAAAAAAGGGTAATATTTATGATTTATTTGCACTTTCCCCTGGTTTCACAGACTAGGCTTAAGCTAGTCCCAGTCTAAAATGCATGTTTGAGTTGTTTTGAAGATAGCATTGATCTATCTTTGGTAAAATATATAATCGCTGCCATTATTTTGTCTCAAGATGCACACCAGTAATGTTTTTTTCTAAGATATGCTTAAAGGATTAGTTCACTTTTAAAAAAACTTTTGCTGATAATTTACTCACCCCCATGTCATCCAAGATGTCCATGTCTTTCTTACTTCAGTCGAAAAGAAATTAATGTTTTTGATGAAAACATTCCAGGATTTTTCTCCATATAATGCACTTTGCTGGGCACCAAACGGTTCAAGGTCTAAATGACCGTTTCAGTTCAGCTTCAAAGGGCTTTAAACGATACCAGACGATGAATAAGGGTCTTATCTAGCGAAACGATCGGTCATTTAAAAAATAAATAAAAAAGTTAAAGTTTTATAGGCACAAATGCTCGCCTTGCGAACTCTCCTGTTCGAACTCGTTCATCAAAATGAATGAATCTTTTTTCGAGTCAATGACTCGAAAAAAGATTCGTTCATTTTGATGAACGAGTCAGTGACTCGAAAAAAAGATTCGTTCATTTTGATGAACGAGTCAATGACTCGAAAAAAGATTCTTTCATTTTGATGAACGAGTCAGTGACTCGAAAAAAAGATTCGTTCATTTTGATGAACGAGTCAATGACTCGAAAAAAGATTCGTTCATTTTGATGAACGTGTTCGAACAGGAGAGTTCGCAAGGCGAGCATTTGTGCCTATAAAACTTTAACTTTTTTATTTATTTTTGAAATAACCGATCGTTTCGCTAGAAAAGACCCTTATTCATCGTCTGGTATCGTTTAAAGCCCTTTGAAGCTGCACTGAAGCGGTCATTTAGACCTTGAACCGTTTGGCTACCATTGAAGTCCATTATATGGAGAAAAATCCTGGAATGTTTTCATCAAAAACATTAATTTCTTTTCGCCTGAAGAAAGAAAGACATGGACATCTTGGATGACATGGGGGTGAGTAAATTATCAGCAAAAGTTTTTTTAAAAGTGAACTAATCCTTTAAAAAAGCTACTTAAATGTCCTAATTGAACTAAGGCCTAATCCTGGCTTAATCTAAGCCCCATCTGTGAAACTGGGCCTTTATAATTTTACCGAACTTAAACTCGTGGCCCCTTGCCTTCTTTTAGCATTTCCTGAGATTCATTTATTTTGAATTCCAAACTTGCTTTTTCTCTTTAAACGCAAATCAGACTAAACTTCACACCAGATGATCCCGAATGACACAAATAGTTGTTGAGATTAATTTAGCGTTTAGCAATGATGTTTGCATTGATGTTTTCTCTTCAACAGGTGAGAAACTCTTGGGTTTCAACAGCACAGAGGAGCAGGCGTCAGGGCCGGGAGGACAGGACAGCATGTGGCGAAATGAGAGATATGAATCCGTCCCGTTGGATGTGAAGGGGATTGATGAAGACGACTCTAAAGGCACGAGGGATTCTCTATACCCACCGACAGGCTCTGCTGTAAGTCACAACAACAGAGGAAACATACCCTCCTATGCACACATTTCATTCATTTCAATTCAGGAATAAAGACATTACCTGTTCCACTTTAAACACCTGACTAGTACAGCCAGGGTTTCCATTTTTTTACAGTCTATGCATTTTACACATTTGTGACTGCTTGTCTGCAGCTTCAAATTCAGAATACAGGTTTGTGACTATTGTCTGCGAGTGCAAATTTAAACATTCAACTTCAGATTTTTATTTTACAGGTTTTCATATTGGAGCTGTGAGTGTACAATTTTTTAGCATACAAGTACGAATATTTATTGTACAAGTTCTCAAATTCACATCTACGTGCTCTCGAGTTTTGCTACTCTTTTACCTTCATAAAAAGTGGTGGGGACATGTCCCACCTGCAAATTACGTCTATGTGTTCCAGGAAATGTATATATATATATTTCCTGGAACACACAGACATATATATATATATATACAGTATATCCGTGGTTCATGACTAACCACGGATATATATATATATACACTCACCGGCCACTTTATTAGGTACCCCATGCTAGTAACGGGTTGGACCCCCTTTTGCCTTCAGAACTGCCTCAATTCTTCGTGGCATAGATTCAACAAGGTGCTGGAAGCATTCCTCAGGGAGTTTGGTCCATATTGACATGATGGCATCACACAGTTGCCGCAGATTTGTCGGCTGCACATCCATGATGCGAATCTCCCGTTCCACCACATCCCAAAGATGCTCTATTGGGTTGAGATCTGGTGACTGTGGAGGCCATTTTAGTACAGTGAACTCATTGTCATGTTCAAGAAACCAATTTGAAATGATTAGAGCTTTGTGACATGGTGGAAGTAGCCATCAGAGGATGGGTACATGGTGGCCATAAAGGGATGGACATGGTCAGAAACAATGCTCAGGTAGGCCGTGGCATTTAAACGATGCCCAATTGGCACTAAGGGGCCTAAAGTGTGCCAGGAAAACATCCCCCACACCATTACACCACCACCACCAGCCTGCACAGTGGTAACAAGGCATGATGGTTCCATGTTCTCATTCTGTTTACGCCAAATTCTGACTCTAACATCTGAATGTCTCAACAGAAATCGAGACTCATCAGACCAGGCAACATTTTTCCAGTCTTCAACTGTTCAATTTTGGTGAGCTCTTGCAAATTGTAGCCTCTTTTTCCTATTTGTAGTGGAGATGACTGGTACCCGGTGGGGTCTTCTGCTGTTGTAGCCCATCCGCCTCAAGGTTGTGCGTGTTGTGGCTTCACAAATGCTTTGCTGCATACCTCGGTTGTAACGAGTGGTTATTTCAGTCACTGTTGCCCTTCTATCAGCTCGAACCAGTCTGGCCATTCTCCTCTGACCTCTGGCATCAACAAGGCATTTCCGCCCACAGAACTGCCGCTCACTGGATGTTTTTTCTTTTTCGGACCATTCTCTGTAAACCCTAGAGATGGTTGTGCGTGAAAATCCCAGTAGATTAGCAGTTTCTGAAATACTCAGACCAGCCCTTCTGGCACCAACAATCATGCCACGTTCAAAGTCACTCAAATCAACTTTCTTCCCCATACTGATGCTCGGTTTGAACTGCAGGAGATTGTCTTGACCATGTCTACATGCCTAAATGCACTGAGTTGCCGCCATGTGATTGGCTGCTTAGAAATTAAGTGTTAACGAGCAGTTGGACAGGTGTACCTAATAAAGTGGCCGGTGAGTGTATATATATATATATATATATATATATATATATACGTGGTTAGTCATGGGTCGTGTATGGCATTAAAAAATAAAAAATGGCATTAAAAAGGGATTAAAAAAGCATTCAATTTAATTCGAAGAGACCTGCAGAAACCCTGTACAGCATAATTTGCAAGGCAAACTTTGGGCAAATACATGAATATTTGAATGCTTCAGTTTACATGTTTGCAGTGATGTCTCTAGAAACAGGTGACGTATGAAATTAAAGCAAGGGAGGTTAAATTACATAGTCACATTTGCATTGTGATACTTGTGTTTATGCAAGGCGAATACTCTTTTTTTTTTTTTTTTTTTTTTTTTATTAAATTTTTTTTTAAGCTCTAATTCATAAAACAACTAAATATATGTGTTTCACGAAAAGCTAAAGCTTGCCAAACACGTCTAGGCTAGAACACATTTCCTTCCTTTCCGTGCTCCAGATGGTGTGATGAAATTTAAGCACTGCCGATTTTTAGTTCTCTGCGGGTGTGCAAAACTATTTTGCATGCTGAGGGCGTATTTGATTTATTTGTGCAAATTTACAGGACAGACGGGTCACTTTGAAATACCCTCTGCTAATCCTCAATGAGTTTATACAAATTTATTCTACCATGTGTTTGGTGCTTGTTTATAAATTTGGTACTATTTGAGTGTGGTGTGTTACACGTCCTTATAAGGATGTAACCAGATATTCAGGATTGCGAAGACAAATAACTTAAAGGTAGCCTACACTATGTAACTTTTGGCCCTCCAGCAGTTAAAAAGCAAAACTGCATGCATTGTGGAACAACATTATTTTGGTTTGTGCATGTGTCAACGTTATTTGTTTTACAGACTTAAATTAAAATTTACAGTAATAAACCGTATTTCATTATCTGATGTAATGTTAATTTACCAACCTATTGAAGTATTAATATCTGTTTTGTACCATTGAAATACACTGACAACCAACAATCATCACAGCAGTGATGAGTCACATGATCAATCAAAGCTCATCTCAAGCAGCTCTTCCACAAGAAAGTTAATATAATTATAAGCTGCACAGTCTCATTCGCACAAACATTAAACACCATCATGGTAACACACATGAAATTTTAAAAATGCAATAAACATTCATTTAACCACATTAAATGTAACATAAAACCCTAATGTACATAACTGATTAGAAAAGAACTAAGAAGAAACAGTTATTTCAACAAAAATACATCAAATGTGAAGTGTCACGCAGGGAATTGTGGGAATGTCAATTTACGGTTTTTCACTGTAAATTATACAATGAGTTGTTCTTTTTCACTTTCAAAAACTGTAAATTTAACGGTATTTTACAGTAAATGTACCGTTAGATCTATCACAGTTATTTACCGTATATAGTACGGAAACTTTCTGTTAACCAATTAACAGTTTTGCACTGTAGCATTTTTACAGTCTTTTACTGTTAAAATCACGATCATTTTTTACAGTCTATGCTTAAGAGATTTAACCAGTTTAGATGTAAAGGATCTCAAGCTGAAGACGCTATGTGGCTTTACCCATTAATAGACACGGTGCTTCCTTGAAAATAAATTCTAACAAGCGCTACAACAAACATAATGAAATTATCTTCCCAATAGATAATGGGTTACAATGAACTCTGTTAATAAAACCCCTTATTCACCTGTTGAGTAATGAAACCATCATCATCTCACTTTTACAACTTTTCTAATCCCTCAGTTCTTGCCATCTCCGAAAATGCCAAGCCGATGTTGATTCTTGTTTTATTACGAGCTCTGTCTTATTCTCTTTTTGCCAGGAGACTCCTCTGTTCGGCGTTTGTTTTAAACGTGTGATTCTCCGGAGTTTGGAGATTTAGCGGCTCCGTGTCAATCTTTCTCGCTCGTTGTACGACTAACCTGTGAAACTCCATATACGCGTCAAAGTAGCCAGAGCAACTTTACTCTATTAACGGATATGACGAGACACGCACAGGCGAGTGACGCATGTATGCAATTTCCCAACAGGTCTAAAATTGAAACTCTTATAACAAAACTAAGGCAAAAACTTGTTTTGGAAGAAGGATTGATTGACTCAATGTTTAAATTGTTAATTTGAGCAAAAATGTTACATAGTGTACATTTAAAGGAGAACTCCGGCGCAAAATGAACCTTTGGTCTAATAAAACATTGGTACCTAGTCAACCGTTATCTGAGATTTGTTTTCATGATAATCGAATGTAAAGAGTTTTATCTCTAAAAACTGTTTAGCGTATAACGCTAGTAATGGGGGCATTTAATAAGTAAAAAGAAATCGCTAGTTTATACCACTAACAAGGCTCAAAATAGCCCCACACGAACACAGTAACATAATGAGGGTCCCTACATGCAAAACGAAGCATTGAGAACTTTGTAAGTGTACAGACCGTTTAATAAGAAGATAAAGATAAAGACAGTCCACTTCGTCTTTACAGACAGGAGCCATCTTTGGAAAACAGTCTCGACTAATCAAACCACGAACGACGTGCTAAGTGAGCTGAACTGTATGAATGGCGTTCGTGGTTTGATTAGTCGAGACTGTTTTCCAAAGATGGCTCCTGTCTGTATACACGAAGTGGACTGTCTTTATAAAATATCTTCTTATTAAACGGTCTGTACACTTACAAAGTTCTCAATGCTCCGGAGTTCTCTTTTAACAATCATCCACTGAAAAAAAAGCACTTGACAAGCGGTAAACTTACTTGTGCATCCTTATAGGGAAGGAAGTTGTTAAAAGGCATATATCTCATTAATTATAATTGTTTGAGTCAAAACTAATTACACAAGTTTCCATGGTAGTATCATGAGAAATATTCACGAGACTGAAAAGTGTAGTTATAGTCCTAAAGCTCAAAAAGAAAATGGTCCACTTGACCTTCTTAAGTTTTAGTAATATAATGTGTTATGTAATTTAAGTCATTAACATATTTTCATGATTAAGACTAAATAGAAGATGCTCCAGTTTTCTGTCAATTACAATCAGACACAGGGGAGAACTTGAAGATTATTTAGCCTTTTTGACTTCCTCTGAGCTAACGTGATTTGTTTGTTGGTACAAATCTCATTATTGTGGTTCTCACTTCCTCAATACACAGAAGTGGCATGGCAGGTGGTTAAATAACTGGGCTGGAAACCCAAAGGTCCCGGGTTCAAACCTCACAAGGGATGATTCATGAAACATGCTGGGTTCCAGTTTGTTTTTAAGCAAAGTGCAATGACTTTTCTAAAACACTTTGTCTGCAGTAAACTAGCTATATCTAGTGATAAATTACACGCACAAAGAAAAATATTCCTGTGTGTGGTATTGAGGAACAAACATTAAATCTGAGCTGGAGGAAAGTTTAAGAGCACGGGCTCATTGCTTCCCTGCCCTGATAAATGTTGTATTGCACTCATTTGTTGAAAAAGAAAATTAGACTTTCACTCAGTGTCACCTTGTCATCATTGGTTTAGAAGAAAATGTTCTCTGTTTCTCTGTAAGACAATTCCACTTGGAAATACCTTCATGCATCCACAAATAGTTTTACAGGTTCTGTAATCTGTAAAGTACTGTTATGCGAATATATAATACATGATCCTTCAGAAATCACTCTAATATCTGGTTCATATTATCAATGCTGTAAACAGTTGTGCTGTTTCATATGTTTGTGGAAACTGTGGTACATTTTTATTTTCAAGATTCTTTGAAATATAGAAAGAGCAGCATTTCTTAGAATTTTTTGTAATGATATAATAAAAATCTTTAATCTCACCTTTGATCAATTTAATGCATCCTTGCTGGATACAAGTATTACTTTCTCTTTCAAAAATCCTACTGACCCCAACATTTTGAACAGTAGTGTAAATGCATAGGTTTCAACATTATGATGTAAAACAAAAAAAAACAAATGAACAGGTAATTTGTTTACTGGGATTTGGTTGGTGGGAAGTAGCTCTCTTGCCTTTGAGTTTCTATGTGTCCTTGTTAGAAAACGAAGCAACGCCCCAAACTCACTGCACTCAAACCAACAGTCACAGTGTTTACCATCTTCTGCAAAACCAGTCTATGAATGCTTTACTTGTACTGTAGTTGTCAAGGCATAGTACGGTGGAATATATTTAAGTATTTAACAGAATAAGACACCTTTAAAGGACCAGAAATCTATCACACCCTTCACATAAAGTCGGAAATTGTTTGCCACGTTAGTGAGAAGTCGATTTGATTTGATTTGATATTAATCCCGAAGAAAATTCAAGATACACAGGCAGGCTTACTTCTGTTTGGAATTGACAAAGGTTACTAAATCTTACTAAGATTAATGGTATTTATTTATTTATTTACTTTTGTTTTGAGGTTGAAGGTCACTTCTAGATATCGTTTCAGTCCATATCATTTTGAAATCTCTTCACTTTATTAAAAAAAATTTCAAAGATGTTTACATCAGGTCAAGGTCAAATTTATTTATATAGCACCTTAAAACAAGATTAATGCTGAACAAAGTGCTGCACAGCTATGGAAGCTTGTTTCCGCCACAGAATGAAAAATAAAAAAGGTAATTCTGACTTTTTTCTCAAAATTTCGAGTTTACATCTCGCAATTCTGACTTTATTTCTCACAATTGCGAGATAGAAAGTCAGAATTGTGTGATATAAGTCGCAATTGCGTGTTATAAAGTCAGAATTGATTGATATAAAGTCGCAATTGCGAGATATAAAGTCAGAATTGCGAGATATAAAGTCAGAATTGCGAGATATAAAGTCAGAATTGAGAGATATATATTCAGAATTGCGAGATATAAAGTCAGAATTGCGAGATATAAAGTCAGAATTGCGAGATATAAAGTCAGAATTGCGAGATATAAAGTCAGAATTGCGAGATATAAAGTCATAATTGAGAGATATATATTCAGAATTGCGAGATATAAAGTCAGAATTGCAAGATATAAAGTCAGAATTGATTGATATAAAGTCGCAATTGCGTGTTATAAAGTCAGAATTGATTGATATAAAGTCGCAATTGCGAGATATAAAGTCAGAATTGCGAGATATAAAGTCAGAATTGCGAGATATAAAGTCAGAATTGAGAGATATATATTCAGAATTGCGAGATATAAAGTCAGAATTGCGAGATATAAAGTCAGAATTGATTGATATAAAGTCGCAATTGCGTGTTATAAAGTCAGAATTGCGAGATATAAAGTCGCAATTGCGTGTTATAAAGTCAGAAATGCATGATATAAAGTCAGAATTGATTGATATAAAGTCAGAATTGTGAGATATAAACTTTTCTGAGAGGAAAAAAGTTAGTCTTTTATTTTTCCTTAGAGTTGGCCTGATAACTCGCAATTGCGAGTTTATATCTCACAATTCTGAGAAAAGATGTCAGAATTTCGAGATATAAACTCGCAATTATGTGTTATAAAGTCAGAATTGTGAGATAAAAAGTCAAAATTCTGTCTTTTTTTCTCAATTTCGAGTTTACATCTCGCAATTCTGACTTTATATCTCACAATTGCGAGATATAAAGTCAGAATTGCGAGATATAAAGTCAGAATTGCGAGATATAAAGTCAGAATTGCGAGATATAAAGTCAGAATTGCGAGATATAAAGTCAGAATTGCGAGATATAAAGTCAGAATTGCGAGATATAAAGTCAGAATTGCGAGATATAAAGTCAGAATTGTGAGATATAAACTATTCTGAGAGGAAAAAAGTTGGTCTTTTATTTTTCCTTAGAGTTGGCCTGATAACTCGCAATTGCGAGTTTATATCTCACAATTCTGAGAAAAGATGTTAGAATTTCGAGATATAAACTCGCAATTATGTGTTATAAAGTCAGAATTGTGAGATAAAAAGTCAAAATTCTGTCTTTTTTTCTCGCAATTGCGACTTTATATCTCACAATTGCGACTTTATATCTCACAATTGCGACTTTATTTCTCACAATTCTGTCTTCATATCTCGCAATTTTGAGATAAAAAGTCGCAATTATTATTATTTTTGTTTTAAATCAGTGGCGGAAACAAGCTTCCATACAACAGACATAACAAAATATCGTCAGACAATATAAATTTAAAAACGGATAAAATATATCAAAAGAAAAACTTGATTTGATAAATCATGTACTGATGCATTATCACAAATCTCTCTATAGTTGTATACAGATGCATGTAATCCTCTTTCACAAACTGATTTCGTTCTCAGCTCCGGAAAACTCGACAGTCGGATGAGAGACCGAAGGACTCGAATCTGTGGCCGTACTTCCAGGACGGCCTGAGGCGGATAGATTACGTGCTCACCTACCACGTCCAGAAGCCCCACAGCGCTCGCAAACAGAAGTCCCGTTCCTGCTGCCTGAGCCGCGGGCGTAACCGGCCCGGCTCACCGGCCCACGACGACCCCGAACTCGCAGCACAAGAGCAGAAGCTGGATTACCACGAGGACGACCTGCGCCTCCGCCGGGACGAGTTTGAGGAGAACCTGCGTGAAATGGGCCTTGAGATTGAGAAAGAGGAAGGGGTGAGTCTTATAGATATTTACAGAGGAGTCCATGGAGATCTGGGATTCATAGTCTAATTTGACATGAAGTTATTTAGCAGATTCAGCACTATTTATAGGTCACTACCATAATAAGCCCATTTTTAACTCCTTCAGATGGTTTAAAGGGTTAGTTCACCCCCCCAAAAAATGATGTCATTAATGACTCACCCTCATGTCGTCCCAAGCCCGTAAGACCTCCGTTCATCTTCAGAACACAGTTTAAGATATTTTAGATTTAGTCCGAGAGCTTTCTGTCCCTAGCCTGGGAAACCCAGACAACTTCCGGCAAATTTAGATTTGCTCTGAAAGTTAGTCTGGCAAAGAGCTCATTCAAGCCCATTTCCAATCCGTCGAAATCGAGGCACCAATCAGAAACGTTGGGGCGGGCTTTACACGATGACGACAGCGCTGGGATTTGGAAGCAGATTTTGTAGCCTACATTACAAAGATGGATGCCGCCGTCGAACATCACTCGTTCGAATCAGCTATCGCGTCTGTTTTAAGCGATTTGAACGTTTCCTTTTAGTTAAAAACCGAGCAAAGAACAACACTCGGAGATGTTCTCCGCCGCTCTGCATACGTCATCTCCTTCATCGCTCTGATTGGGTTTAGGTCTATCCGCGACGTCCGTTGGTGACGCCCCTCTGGAAATGATTTGTCTATGACGCTTTGCCAGACCATAACTCACTTACAACTGAGAATGGTCTGGTTTTAACCAGGCTATTCTGTCCCTCCATTGAAAATGTGTGTACGGTATACTGTCCTTGTCCAGAAAGGAAATAAAGACATCATCAAAGTAGTCCATGTGACATCAGTGGGTTAGTTAGAATGTGTTGAAGCATCGAAAATACATTTTGGTCAAAAAATAACAAAAACTAGGACTTTATTCAGCATTGTATTGTGTTCCAGTTCTGTTGTGGATCCGCGTTCAGTGCCGCCGCTGACGTAAGACGCTGCTGACGTGTGTCTGGTGTGTGTGTGTATTCGGGTTCAAATAAATATGGCTGGGCAACAAAATGCAAGTCTTCCTCTGTGTGGAAAATGAAATCCTTAGACATGTTTGCGAAGATTGTTTTGTTTCCAGCGTGCGTCTCCCTCAGACTGTGAACGAAGCTCGGACGCACCAAACACACGTCTGCAGCGTCTTACGTCACACACACACACACACACACACACCAGACACACGTCAGCAGCGTCTTACGTCAGCGGCGGCACTGAACGCGGATCCACAACAGAACCGGAAGACAATACAATGCTGAATAAAGGCGTAGTTTTAGATATTTTTGGACAAAAATGGATTTTCTATTCTTCAACACACTCTAACTAACCCACTGATGTCACATGGACTACTTTGATGATGTCTTTATTTCCTTTCTGGACAAGGACAGTATACCGTACATACATTTCCAATGGAGGGACAGAAAACTCTCGGACTAAATCTAAAATATCTTAATCTGTGTTCTGAAGATGAACGGAGGTCTTACGGGCTTGGAACGACATGAGGGAGAGTCATTAATGACATAATTTTAATTTTTGGGTGAACTAACCCTTTAAGGTGCACCTATTATGCTTTTTCCAATTTAACCTTTCATGCTGTGTGTCATTTTGTGAATGTAAACGGTCTGCAAAGTTTTAAAGATCAAAGTGCACAAGTAAAGTTATTGTCTTCTAAATGAAACGATCGGTTCTGAACGGCTGAAACGAGTCGTCGGTAATTCCAGTCTCACTTCCTGTTCCTGCGTAACAAATGTGCATAATGCCAGCCTATGGTCTTTATTGACTGGCGGTGAACAACGTCTACTTTGACCCTCAAACACTAGTTTTAGCTGAGGCTTGGAAGAGCTTGGCTCGTGTCGAGAAGACACTTTTTTTTTTTTTCATCTACTTTGAGTGCACTTCAAAAAGATAAGGGCTTGCGCTGGAATTGACCGTGACCAATGTCTGACATGTTTATGTACTCAAGTAAGAACCTCATTCTTATTAAAGCTACTAAAGTTATTCAGTCAAGAGTAGTGAGTGATTTTCTGTTTTTCTTTTGTTGTTTGATTCACATTAACAGTATAGAGCAGCCGGTACTGTACATTTGCCACTTTAATACACACATCTAATTTACACATGTCATTTATTTCACAGCTGTTTACGCCCACAGACATAACCGACTGCGTTTATGTGAACTTTTTGTGTATTTAGCCCTATTCGGTGGTAATTGTTTCTCATGTGGACGTCTGCAAATATAAATTTGCATGGCAGCTCGGTGATAAAACTCATGCATTCGGATGGCGATTTATTGACGGTGGTGGAGCGAGTTTTGTAATCCTACGAACCCAGGAACGCGGTGCTCATGTGGTCAGTCGCATGATTGTCTGCTGTAAATAAACTAATGGAATAATGCGAGTAAATTCGTATTTAATTTAATAATAGGAAAATAATGGTTTATATATTATTTAAATCTCATTTTTTTCAAAAGAGGAAGCTAGACGTGCGTACGCTAGGCCTATATGTGAAATGGTTTTCTGTCTCGCATTTTATCTCAAAAGGATGTCATTTTAAAAGTATGGAAATTAGCGGAAACAAGTTATTGCATGAGGTAAAAAATAAAGCTGTTGGTTTGTATTTTTAATGTTGTGTGTAATAGCCTACAACTATTTTAAAATTGTATCATATATTGCTGCCACAATAACGGCCCATTTAAAATGTTTAAAGGACTTTGTAAGTGTACAGACCGTTTAATAAGAAGATAAAGATAAAGACAGTCCACTTCGATTATACAGACAGGAGCCATCTTTGGAAAACAGTCTCGACTAATCAAACCACGAACGACGTGCTAAGTGAGCTGAACCATAGACATAATAAATACATAGACGCCCTATTGGCCGCTGGAGCGTACGTCAACGGCGCCGCCATGTTGGGGATGGCAACTTTCCCATACCTCTCACACCGGGAATTGAGAAAAATGCATGTTTTGAGCGCTGTTTGGGGCTGTACCCATCGCCACACAATTGAAAACAGCTTTCGAGGAATAACCTTTCACAAGCAAGACTGAACGTTTGTTTTTGGTTGTATTTGGTCATGATTTAATTAGTAATAGTAACGTTCAGAGGTTACATTTAAAAATACTACTGTTATTGTGTTACGAAATGTAGTTTTATAGCTTTTCAGTCGACAATGTAGTTGTTTAAAGCTCAAATATGTGGTTTGTTTATAAAGATAGCGCCTATTTAAAAATTTGATCTGAAGTTTTCGGAGTTGTAAGATGCGCTCAGCGCTCGTCTACCCCGCCTGGAACAGCCGGATCTCGGCCAGTGCTTCTGAAGTGTTACCGCTGACTCGGATGTCTGTAGTCTAGTGGTTAAACATGAGATATAATTCGTCTTGTGTATATCTAACGGGCGATCTTTGGTCTCATTAATCTATAAATGGTTCCCTAGTAAATCGTTTTGGCTGAGGGCAAAGTGAAGTTTCATAACTTTATATTTAGGCTATTTTAACGTTGTATCCTGCTGTATGTTTGACTGAAGCTACTTCTGTTATACTGATCAATAAACCTGAAATTTAACAAAAAGAGTTAAATATTAAAGTCACTATTTAACTTATTTTTTATTGTGTATATTCTGTAATTGATATTTCTTATTCTATTGCTATTATTATAGTATTATTAATAAACTATGCTATTATCAATATTTTTATGATTGTATTATTGTACTTATGATATTATATAATTATACTAAGCATTACTATTTTATTTGCTGTATACTATTTGTTTATTTTATTGACTAAACTATTTACTATTACTTCTCACTTTATGTTATATTTACTATTTGCATTGCACTGTAGTTGTACCATAACTTATATTATCATAAAGGATCCATCAGTTATCTTTGTTATTGCTAAAATCTGGTCAATCACAGAAAATGCTTTTTCCACAATAAGAAAACTTAAATTATATCTCAGTATGGGGGTCTTCACCATTCTTATCCAAGAATAAAAAGCCAGATACATGACAAGCCTGAGCTTAATTGACCATTCTTTATTAAAAAATTTTTTTTACAAGTCTAACTATCGAGATTTTAAATAACTAGAGATGGAACTTTTTGTACACCACATACAAACCACTGAAATCGGTTGATAAATGTAAAAACAGTTTGTTTTTATCCAGAAAAAACGCAGCTCCCCCGTTTACTTACATTTGTTCACAGTGCAGTCTTGCCCTCCGCAAAATGGCGGACCCGTTGACGTATCGCAGCAACGTTCCAAAGCGGCCAATAGGGCGTCTATGTATTTATTATGTCCATGAGCTGAACTGTATGAATGGTGTTCGTGGTTTGATTAGTCGAGACTGTTTTCCAAAGATGGCTCCTGTCTGTATACACGAAGTGGACTGTCTTTATCTTTATCTTCTTATTAAACGGTCTGTACACTTACAAAGTTCTCAATGCTTCGTTTTGCATGTAGGGACCCTCATTATGTTACTGTGTTCGTGTGGGGCTATTTTGAGCCTTGTTAGTGGTATAAACTAGCGATTTCTTTTTACTTATTAAATGCCCCCATTACTAGCGTTATACGCTAAACAGTTTTTAGAGATAAAACTCTTTACATTCGATTATTGTGAAAACAAATCTCAGATAACGGTTGACTAGGTACCAATGTTTTATTAGACCAAAGGTTCATTTTGTGCCGGAGTTCTCCTTTAAGTGCTTTTTTCTCTTTCTCCTTTTTGTTTGCTGAGGTGGAGCGGTGATGAAATATTGTTGGTAATAAAAGTGTTGGCTACATCTTTAAAACAATGCTTGCAAATTACAGTGAAGCGCAATATTTATTGTATGTGCGGTGATCAAAAAGGATTTAAACAGTGAATTTTGACTTGATCTCCTCTTGTAAACTCAGAGATGTGGATTCGGACGGCAATTAAATGACCTCACGACCTTGGTGTTTGTCAAAAAACAGGATTTTCACGTGGGTGGTGGGAGAAAAACACTGAC